TAGTGCCTTACTGTATGAAACAACAGTTGATGGAATACTTAGTTGGGACGTCACAAAAAACTAGGGAGTACTAGACAGATGTTTAGGACTGACTCCTTAACAGCGAACACCAACGAACTTGCAGGGGATCGGTCCAGAACTTTTTAGATCGTACAGTGAACAGTTAATTATTCGAACCACTCACTGGGTGAACAACTTTCAATGTCACATTCCCAATTTGAATCAATTTGCGACAAAGCATGACTATTAAACAATGAATGCTATTAGCGACTTCTTACATGTTAACAACACAGTATGAAAAATGATTCAGACTAAATCATTGAACGAAAGAGCGCACTAAATCGATTGTTATATACACTTTTATAGAAATACAAATGTAGAAAAATATGTTATATATTACGAAAACATACCTGTAATGCGTTTAACATTAGATTTTGTAATTCTAATGCTTCCATTAGATCACTATTCCATATTTTACTACGATCACTAACTTTCAAATCATTCATTCGTGAAGCATATAGTTCATACATTTTTTTACAACCTTCCTGGAGAGTAGGACCATCACGAAATACTGCAGCATACTCTTGCATTGTTCGTTGCATTTCTAATCTAACCTACATTCAAAATAACAACAAAAAAAAAACTTAAAACTGTAAAAAGTATGCATGAGTCAGTCAGTCAGATGCAACGTAAAACTTGGTACGTAAGTACATCAGTTCATGTTGCCATACCACATCAGCATTGAGACGCCATTGTTAACTCAAATCCAATAGTAGAAGAGGTAGTGAAGGTATTAGGAGTAATCGGAGAGGTTAGGATTAGAAGATATTATTCAAGAAGTATGATTTATTGAGAAAAGTTTAGAAAGTCAAAACTAGAGTTGTTGAAGAACCCAGAAGGTTAGGATTATGGATAAATAAGCATAAGTTGTCCATTAAATTATTGGAATATTCTTCAGTAAATATTTTTCATCTGTCCAATTTGAAATCACACTTCGAAAACTATTTGCACAGAAATTTAGCATGAGGACAGGATGAAACAGCTGATCGCATAAACACTTATAAGGTCAGATTATTCCTGAGGCGTTATCAAACACTTTAAATATATATCGGAATGCCTACCAAAACAGTGCACCTTAGTGGATCTAGAACTACTCAATGATCGGAATATGAAACTAAAGAGGCCAACACTTATTCACAAATTACAGGCAATCAACCTAAAGTATCTTTTTAAGTATTCTCCTTGTATGGCAAAGAAAACTCATTGAGTAAAGTTAAAGTTCGGTATAAATTCCTAAATAAGGAAGGTCATTTCAATGGGTAAATGTGTGAACCTGCATAAACTGGAATAGATGGACAGACTGTGTTCCATTCACGTCACTAGTATTTAGTTTTGCGCAAAACTAAGGGTGGACATAAGGCTGTTATTAAAAAACGGGTGCTAGGTAAGAATGGCAGACCAATGGAGGAAGTAATGAAACTTCATCAACTGAGGTGGTTGGGACATGTGCTACGTACGCCTAACCACCGACTGCCTCGAAGAGCTTTGTTTTATAGTGTAGGAGAAGGTTGGAAGAAAGCTAGGGGCGGCCAAACCAAAACATGGCACAAATCCATGAAGTCATTGACAAGTAGACTGAGCCATGTCGGTAGTTGTCGACTACCTGGTTGAGGTTTGCGAGACGATAATAATCGATCGTTAGAGACCCTGAATGACATGGCTCAAAACCGTTTGCAGTGGTGCATGTGCATTAACTCTATGCGTTCTATGAAATTCTAACCTTGTGAATTAATCATCACCTCTATCTTTCTCTTTCTAAATTTACCTCACTGAATTATACTTCTTGAATAACATCTACGAAACCTAATCTCTCGGATTACTTCTAATACTTTTACTACGTCTACTACTATGGGATTTGAATTGACGTTTGCATCTCTGTGCTAGTACTGTATGGCAACATGAACTTATGTACATACGTACGAAGTTCTACGTTGCATGTGATTGAAGGGTGGACAGTGCCGTGGTAACAGGTCTCTCATTTGGATCAACACTAATAAATACAGGTTTCTTGCATGAATCCTACAAGAAACAGTACACTCGTCCTTTAGTCAGCAAACGGATATCTCGTCTATGCCATGAGTGACGCAGGTTGGCAAAATCCAATCGAGTTTTCTGTAGCCGAGCTGAGATTTCGTCAGTCACCAGGCCAACAGCACTGATCAGACTCCCAAGATAAGTGAAGCGGTCTACACGTTCGACTACTTCACTCCCTATCACTAGTTCAAGTGCCGATGCAACACAATCTTGAAGCAACATTTTGCATTTCGAGGGTGAGAACCGCATCCCGAACATGCTTGCATTGTTGCTTAGGGTAGTCAGAAGACTCTGCATTTTGTCAGCGTCTTCACCAAGTAGGACTATGTCATCGGTATATTCTAAGTCAATAAGCGAGCCTCCTGGTAAAAGGTCTATTCCTGAATATTCAGACGAGGATAAGGTTATATCTAGGAGCATGTCTATGATAAAATTAAACAAGAATGGAGACAGTGGACGGCCCTGACGGACATCACTTGAAGTAAAGAATTCCGGTGACAGTTCGCCATATGCTCTCACTCGACCAGTGGTGTTCGAGTAGAGAGCCTGTATAAGGTAATGTACCTCTCTGGTACACCTTTCAATGATAGACACTGCCACAGAACCTCACGATCCACTGAGTCGAATGCCGCCTTAAGGTCTAGGAAAACAACTATTGTAGGACGCCCAAATGTGTCTGTGTTCCAGGACCTGTCGTAGTGTGAGGATGTGGTCTATACAACCACGTCCAGTTCGAAAACCAGACTGGTTTTCTCTAGTCTGCTCTTCACGAGCTTTCGTTAAGCGTCGAACTATTACTGAGGCCAATATTTTAGATACTATATTAGTTAGACTTATTCCCCTGTGATTGTCACAAGAAGACTTCTGTCCTTTCTTATAGATTGGGACAATCAATGATTGAGACCAGTCGGATGGGATCACGTCCAGTTCCCAGATTCTACCAAAGATCTCAGTCAACCTAGCTGCTAAAACTGGACCACCATCCTTAAATATCTCAGAAATCCGTCTATCAGGAACTGCGGCTCTCTCTCGCTTCAGATTTTCTATCGCTTTCTCAACTTCATAAAGACTAGGGGGACTTACGTCGATTTGCCATTCAGGATGACTGGAGATCGTGGGTAACCGAAGTGTGGCTGAAGGCCAGTTGAACTGATCCCTAAAGTGTTCTGCCCATCGATCCAGTCTCCTGGATTGAGAATGGATAATAAGACCATCCTTTTCCGAGATAGTCTCACTCACATTTGGGTTCCTAATACCAGTTTCCTTGATGAGTCTAAATAGTTGCCTACTGTTGCCTATCTCCGCTGCCTTTTCCATCGCTCTTGCTTTCGCTATCCACTACTATTCACGATCATTGCGTAGACTTTTTATAAGTCTGCGCCTAAGCTGACTTCGCTCTTCATCATGTTCAGAGTCAGGTGGAATGCGTTTTCGAGCATCCATCAGTTCGGTGGATGCGACTGAAATCCACGGCTTCAGTAGATATCACTGCTGTTTCCACACCCTTTCTGATGTCATTCCAAGCTGCTTCCGGATGGGAATCACTTACATGGTTGCTTAACTCTCTTCCAAGTTGCTCCTGAAACATATTCTTAGCCTCATTATCATTAAGTAGAAACCTAAGAGGTTTCCTTGCGGTGTCTTTCCTACGTCCAGTAAGCCTCAAACAAATACACGCTCGCACTAGAGCATGATCTGGATCTAAACATGTGCCCCGGAATGAGTGACAGTCCTTTAGCGAACCTCTCCATCGGTGGCTGATGGCGATGTGATCTAGTTTGGTCTAACGTTGAGACGACTTCGGCGGTCGCCAGGTCAAAAGGTGTTTTTCCTTGTGCCTAAGGTTAGTGTTTGCTAAGAATAGGCGGTTATCTGAGCATAGTTGCAACAGACGGTCGCCATTTTCTGTTCTCTGCGCCGCGACACTATAACATCCACCTAGGTGTCTTTCATTTTCACTTAGTCTACCTACTTGAGCATTAAAGTCACCAGCCATTATTACTAAATCAGAGTGCCTAGCTTTTTGGAGGAGGTCCGAAAGCTTTCTGTGGAACTCATCTTTAACCTCGTCTGAACTGCAGTCAGTGGGGGCATAGGCAGATACGACGAAGAGACAACGGCGAGTGTCCCTATCTTTACGAGTCCTTACAGTCCCGTTTAGTCGGACAGAGCACAAGCGACTATCTACTGGGATCTACTCTAGAATAGCTGGTGCTGCCCTACGACTCAATGCTATACCTACACCAGTGAGACCCCGGGAAGCAGCATCAGGGCTTCCATATGCACGAAGATTGAATCGAGCTGCTTCTTTATTTTGACAAGGTGAAGTCAGATTAATAATTTTACTAGGATCCTGTATGCACGTTTCCGAGACGCAGCATACATCGATGGCACGAGATTCTAAAGTCCTGGCTAATGATACCGGTTGCCCTATTTGACACTAAGTCCGTACATTAAAAGCTCCAACATGTAGTCTAGAACGGCGTTTCAGGAGACCAGGAATGACGTTTCGTAAACTTAGTGGGCACCCTCACCGACGGAGACGGAAATCAGTGAGGTAGGGTGAGGTATGACATTTTTAGGGTCGATCTTTTCTAACCCTTCCTTCTTTGTGAGAAGGCAGCATCGCTGCAGATGCTGGTTGTCCGAGGGAAACACCTTACTGCTGTCACACCCCTCTGCAGTCAGCAGTACGACTTCGCCCCCATACCTTGAGTAGCTGCTTTTAGTTTCATCGTTCTCCAATTGACCTGCCTCGCATAGTAGAACCTTCAGGAACATAAGTCCCAGCCAATATAGCTCGGTTTGGTCATCACGATAGGCAAGCCCGACATCCATGTCAAGGTAGCAGCTACGGTCGGGATCCTTAACTAGTACCCGTTTCGGAACGACAGCATTGCTCACTCGGTTGTCCCAGGATACACGAGCAATGCTTCGTGACAATTTATTACGTCCATTTTTATGTTAGTAATGTTTATTGGAAGGTGTGACATTTCCTAACCCCTTCATTCCTTGTAAGACAGCAGTGCTGCAGATGCTGGTTGTCCGAAGGAAACACCTTACTGCTGTCACACCCCTCTACAGTCAGCAGTACGACTTCGCCCTCAGACCTTGAGTAGCTGCCTTTAGTCTCACTGTTCTCCAATTGGCCTGCCTGGCACGGTAGGATCCAAAGGAACAGGTGCTCCAGCCAACATAAGTTGGCCGGATCATCACGATAGGTAAGCCCAACCACCACGTCGAGGCAGCATCTATGGTCACGACCAAAGTGGTCAGGTTTGATTTACCATACTAGTGCAGTACAGATAAAAAAATAACATAACGAAAAAACAAACTCACTTGTGCAATTGAATACTTCCCATTCGCTGTCCGCAGTTTTTCATAGTTAGCGATGGAGACCTCTCCAGCATCTGGCTTTAATTCTGGACCTGCATCTCCAGGCTTATCTTTCGAAGCAATGTCCAGTGCACATGCACGACCAAACACAACAATATCAAGCAATGAGTTGGCACCTAGTCTATTAGCGCCGTGAACTGATGCGGAAGCAGCTTCACCAGCGGCATACAGTCCAGGAACAATTTTTTCTTTCTTGGAAACCGGATCATAGGTCAGCACCTGGGGAGGAACGCAACATGTACTAATATAAACTTACGTTTCCATTCAACTATTAGCTATGAAAAAGACTTTACTGAGTTGTTTATGTAAAATAACAAAACCAAAAATAAAACAATCATTTGTTGCTGTTAATCGTAAAACTTAGTTTATCTTTATGAAAGTGTTTAGGTGTCAATTTCTAACGTGACACTGTCCCATCAAACCAGTTTACATAATGATTACGGATTAACTCACTTACACATCGATAGTAATTATAAATTTATGCGATTGATAAATAGATATCTCCATACTATAGTCACGGTTTATCATCATAGATATGTAGTCAGAGTAAGATGAAACATAAACATTCATCAGTTTATGTTGCTACACTTCAGGTCAGAGTAGAGGGAATTTGCGATGGATTAAATAGGGTTGAAAAGAGTGAAGATTGCAGAAAAATAAAAACATAAAAACAATTTAAAAAAATAGAGGAAAGTGAAAAACTAGAGATGAAACATGATACTATGCTCAAAATTTGGAAGAAAGAACGAATATATTTGCAATCGGTTACGAGGTATATCATTGAAACTTTAATCACAGATTACGTACAAATTAGTTGCAATGATAAAATGGTTCTTTACTCCAAGACTTGAAGACTGATTGACAAAAAAAGGGTTCTATTATGTGTGAGGACTCATGAGATCTGTGGACAAATGGGAAAGTTGTGATCCACGAAACCCTGAAACATTCTACCACACATGATTTCATCAAGCATTTCAAAATTAAAGAGATGGGACAGTCTTATTAGGAGGGAATGAACACAAAAATTGTTAGTCATTCGGCTGCTCCGTGCAATATGGTACGTAAGAACATCAGTTCAAGTTGTCATACCATATTAGCTCAGAGATTGAATCGTCAGTTCAAATCCGATCAAGATAGAGGTTGTGAGTCGAGAAAATATGGAACATCGTTAGCGGTGAACAATGCGTTCGGTCTTGTTCTGTGTACTCCTATTGGTAATAGAAATAATATGAAGTCAACAAATTGTCAACCATCATGAACAGAGAAATGTTATTCGTTTGTGTTGGGTAGTATTTAGTGAGACTACTCAAACATCTAACTCGATAAATTTAAGTAACAAACGGAATGAACAACATGGGCAATTGCAAGACTGCGGTTTTTAAGTAACCATGAAGTCTTACTTTACATCTGACAAGCACAAAACAAGTAGCAGACAGAGACAGACAGACAGATAAGTAGCACCCTCAGAAAATCACTTAAAATACTAATAAGACAGTATTTAGCTTTACTACTTAAGAGGAACATGCCAGATTTACGTGATGCTGTCTTGTTGTATTCGGATCCGCATATTAGTGACAACCATAATACCCAACCAACCCTTATCTTTAAACGGCAGAAACCGGTCAATAAATGAATCAATATGTTGCCAACACTGAAAGTTTTCCCTATATAACGTGAATAAGATAGAAAAACTTGGCATACTGGTAAGATTTAGAGAAAAATTCTTAACTAACTTGTCCTTTGTAGTTTGTAGGAATTCCTCCCATATTATAATGGACGGTAGGCAACACGGGAATAGGATCCCTCGTAACATCAACACCTGCGAATATTTTTGCTGTCTCTGATATACCAGGAAGTCGGCTGTGTAGCTGTTCAGCGGGAAGATGAGAAAGCTGCAAAAATATGTGGTCTTTCCTTGGGCCAACTCCTCGTCCTTCACGAATCTCAATTGTCATCGCTCTTGAAACAACGTCACGAGAGGCTAGGTCTTTGGCATTAGGAGCATACCTCTCCATAAATCTCTCTCCTTTACTATTTATAAGATAACCGCCTTCACCTCGACAGCCCTCAGTGATCAAGCACCCAGCCCCATAAATTCCTTCGAAATTACAGAAAATTTCCACACTTACCTGTTGGATGAAATTGGATAAACTCCATGTCTTGATTAGGCAACCCAGCCCGTGTAACCATTGCCGTGCCATCGCCTGTACAAGTGTGAGCTGAAGTACAAGAAAAGTATGTACGACCATAACCCCTATCCGATAGAAGACATAAAATACGACATACCCCGTAGCAAGGACCGTATTCTTAGCGCGGAAACGATGCAAAGTCCCATCTTCTAAACACACAGCAATGACACCTCGACATTCGCCATTTTCCATGAGCAGATCCAGTACAAAATACTCGATGAAATAAGTAGCATCATAACGTAATGACCTTCCATACAATGTATGTAAGAGTGAATGCCCAGTGCGATCCGCAACTGCACAACATCGATGGGCCTGACCACCACGCCCGTAGTCTATGCTTTGGCCACCAAATGCTCGCTGGTATATTTTGCCATTCTCTAAGCGACTGAAAGGTACTCCATAGTTTTCCAACTCGATAACAGCTTTTGGAGCCTCTTCACACATATAATGGATAGCATCCTGATCACCTAACCAGTCGGAACCTTTGACAGTATCATACATATGGAAACGCCAGTCATCAGGCTCCATATTACCGAGGGCAGCATTTATTCCACCCTGTGCAGCCACAGTGTGGGATCTGGTTGGAAATAACTTTGTTATTATTGCAGTTTTGAAACCCTCATTTGCAAGACCAAAACCTGCACGTAACCCAGCACCACCTGCACCAACAACTACTGCATCGAATGAGTGGTCAATAATGGTGTACCCGCTTGCATAACTTAGGTTTCGAAATTTCAAAGATTGGTATAAGTTGGTTGGACAGTTTAGCCTTGTAGCTTTACGAATAACATTTCGAGACAGTGCCAGATAAAACATACCGAGCGCGTATTGGGTCGGAGCTAATTTCAAACTCCATTTTCAGATCGCGAAGGCAAAAGTCTAGGTGGCCTGTGTTAGTCCTCGCAATTTTGATATCTCGATTGATCTAAATTTCTGCTGAATTAATCCATAAATGGAGCTTCACTCACGTGTTGGGGTAACAGATTCTATACGTTGTCGATCTTAGGTGAAAGGTGATAGTTAGTCCAATATCCAATATCTATTTCACGAGCCAGTGTAGAGGAGTTGATGTCCAATGATTTAATTATTTGGTAGTGAAGATAATGCAAAAGGACCGGTGTTTCAGTTGCGGGTAATATCCCCTGAGATAATAATGGATTAAGTTAGTAATCTGAAGAGTTGACAATAATAAATACTAACAAGGTCCGATACATGCGACGACGTGGCGAACTTCAAGGTATGGGCATGCGTACGCCTTAAATAACGTTAAGAGTTATTCTGGGGCGATAGAACCACTATGTCTTTGCATAAAGTGAAGAGTTGAGGGTGTTAGCTGTTCATGACATGTGGACAGAATGTCCATCCTCTTCGCTTCTTATGGACCTGCTCTTCACTGATCAACACCGCTGAGCTTATTTCATCCAACAGATCGTTAAGGAATATCAGAAAGAGGAGTGGATCTAAGACGGTCCCATGTGAAATGCCCGATATTGTGACTCGTTAGCTTGTAAGCACCCTATTTACTTTCGTGCCAAACTTTCTGTTCTCGAGGTAGTTTCTGAGCCAAAATTGAATTGGGACACTGAAGCCCATTTTTGCAGCCTTTGCAATTAGGAATACTTCAGGTACTGTATTGGAAGCTTTAAGGAAGTCACGAAATAATATGTGAACCGGTATTTTTCGGTCCTAGCAGGTTGTCCCGCTATCCTATGTTCTAGGAAGATTGGATTCACATGATCTGTCTTTCCTTCACATGAAAAAATACTTTGTTCTGGGCATGTGGACTTCTTTTACGGCGTCCTCATAAATTCTCCTTTTTGGAAAGGAAGAAAAATAAGGCAATGTCAGATGCAATTTTATCAATAAGTAATTTTATTTATGTAATTCAATCACTTCTGGTCATTCTATCAGATGAAGGAAACAGGTTTAATCTAGTTAGTGATACAGCAACTTTGAGACTCTGGCGATCAACTTTGTTGTGGTCCGCTGAACCTTTTGAAACATTTCATTGTCTTTTTTAGGCAGGGGTTGACTACCTGTGTGTAATAACTAAGTTTAGGACAAGTGAATACTGTATGCGCAAAAAGTGTCATAATATCGACTTTGCTCAAGATTCTTCGTATTAATCAAAATAGTTGTAAAACATTTGGTGGCCATTACACAGTAATGTGCAGTACTTTTAAAGCCCTAGTTATTAGTGACACCTATGTCATTCTATGTCTGGATAACAAGTAGCTCACTGTTATTCACCGTGTATTTATTTAGCTGATCAGTAGGCGCCATAATGCATTTATCGGCAACTGACAAATTCTGGATTATTCAGATAATTTATATAGGTAATTTTGGAACTATAGACTACCATCTCCGAATCTTGACACAGCATAAAACAAAATCAGTGAAGATAGTAGACTAGAAAGGTCATGAATATACGGGAGGAACAACAATGGCCTCAAAGTAGTACCCTGAGACACCGAGTTAAGCACAATTTTCCAGATATACAACTTGGAGTTGGTCCAGCTAAAAAATTCTTAATTCATAGAAATAAGTTGCCCCAATCCCGATATCACATAAGTTGAACAAGCGCCTGCTGTGGGAGACGATATCGGAAGCATTCCTAAAATAATGAAGGCTATATCTACAAGGGGCTTTCGATCTGTATTATACTGTTTCTGTCAGTGACATGGTGTAAATATGCAATCAGAAACTGACTCTTACACTTAATTTAACTGCTATAACTTTACAGTAATTGTGAAAGCATTTGTGACAATTTGATCTAGCCTGTAAACTGGCGTGACTCTTGTAACGTAGTTATTTGAGAATAAATATATATTATTATTATTATCTCTATGAGTTCATCAACTTACTCTGGCTACTAATATGTTTGTAAGACTCGAAGAACTTTTTATAATACAGTGCTGCTTCTCAAATAGAACTAAGTTTTCGTCTTGGTACTTAAACAACTCGTTACGGACAATCATTCATAAATTTTTGACAACTTCCTTAGTAAGGTCTTCGGGCTGATAATTCTCAGGTTTGTGGCGCGTGTTTGTTTCACAGACCTGACATATTTTTGGTATAATCGTCTTTCCCCAAACATGTATTACTAGAGTCTTTCCATAATTCTGGTTCGCTCCCTCTCCTCTCAGTCCGTTGGCGTGAATGCTGTCGAACGTAATATGTTGTATAGGCGATTTGTGTATCCTAAAGACTTCGATATTATCTTCTCTTCATATATTCTTCAAGACCTGTATGGGGTCAAGGAATAAATATTCTGGGATTCCCGATATTGAGGCTATGTCTCAATAGTTTAAAAGGATTTAAATCTCTCGAACATTCTTTTCCTTCTACAGGGAAAAGTGTAAACCTCCTTACTGATAAAGGGCGGGTAACGAAATTAATTTCTTGGAGCGTGCGGCTCAGTAACTAAAGTGTGCAAATTTCTCAATTTCTACCAGATAGTCTCAATCGAGTTTTCTACTATCCAGTCTACTGAGCAGACTCGGTGTAAGATTTCTTGTACATCATTGTTGAAAACTATATGGAAATCGAAGACTAGAACTGCATAGTCACTCTTACCAAGGGGTGGCATATAATAGAGATTTTTGGGATAGTCATCATGACGGGTTATTATGAGATCTATTCAGGATCGCTGATAGTTCATTTCCTACCTAGTTGCCTCTTTCCAGTATATCACTAGGATACTTGTAACGATCATATCAGCTAGTTCTTATTCAATAGAATTTTCTTTAATATTCCCTAGTCTACTGAAGGCAAACAAGATTTCTAAAAGTAAATAGTGACCACTTAAAAGGCAGCTGTTGAGCTTGTCTAATTAGACCTGATTGACTTCACAGTTTCAGCAACTCCTGTCCGTATTTTCAGTGGCAAATAACTAATCCACATGTCCTGCTTTCATGGTTAATATTGTCAACTAAGATAAAGGTGATAGTATTTCAACAAGTGAAGCTACTCCCCTTTCTATTGGCTTCTGGGTTCTTTCGGTTCTAACCAATGTTAAATTTCGAAGATCCCATTCCGTACTGTCCGTAGACTGAGTCAGCAAAGTTTCTGTGATAATATTTATGTCCAGGTTAGTGGAGTCTGTGCGATAATCTGTCTTCCATCGCGCTCTGAGTAAGCTCCGGATATTTTTGCGGAAAGCCTGAAGATAATCTGAATGACTGTGTGCTAGATTGTAAGTGATATCTGCATCATTCACTATCGCCACCATCCAGAATCTACAATTCTAAGGTCTTGTCACCAACACGTAACTTTAGTTTTCGATCTGTTTTCGGCTTCTCGTTTTCGAATGCAGTCCATTAGTAATAATGCTTTACGAGCAAAACGTCCTGATTCCTTCAGTTTATATCCATTCTGGATTATTAATTCCCTTTCACTGGTGCATTAGCGCTACTTTTAGAAAACTAGTTTGATCTTCTTGTGAATCCATTTCGCATCCTTAATAAAAATATACATATTCTCAAGTAACAGTATTACGGGAGGGACGGGAATCCCCAGGCTAAATCTAAGTGCTAAGAATGCTACTACACTCACTATAAAATGTTACACTGTTGAATGAATAATAAGGGTTTTTCTGACAGTAAGTCTGTGCCAGGAACAATTTCATACAGCCACATTTTCTACAAGTGATTACGAATAGGGTAGGTACACAGCAAAGTTCTCGAGTGGTGTGTATAAT